TAATCAACGCTAAACCCTAAACCCTAATCCCCAAACCCTAAACCCTAATCCCTAATCCCCAAACCCTAAACCCTAAACCCTAATCCCCAAACCCTAAACCCTAAACCCTAAATCGTCACTATCACTACTACCATCATCCACCAAGGCAAAGTCAGGCTTGGCTTGATGGTGTGAAGCCGACGAAGCAGCTGAAGTTCGCTTCCTAAGGTCCTTGCTGTTCCCAGAGAACCCAATACCCCTCAATTAAGGAATATACCTTAGACCAGAATAAATATTCAGGCCCCCAGGATTTTAGGTATATTCCTTAATTAAGGAATATATATATATATATATGTATATATATATATATAGATATATATATATATAGAAACACACGTCAAACGCCCCTATAATTTTAAGGTAGATTTCTTAATTAAGGGGTATTGGGCTCTCTGGGTTGCAAGGTGGCGTCGAAGGAGCACGGGATGAGTCCCATTGGATCGCCACCTCACGGCTGAGTACTTGCCACACACCTATAGTCTCCATTGTAGTTCCTTTTTGGGGGATGCCTTATAAAATCCTTAATCTATAATTGGTTAAACCAAAAAAAGGAACTACTATGGAGACTACAGGCAAGTCCTTCCATTGCTACAGCGGCTAGACCCGCATCTCTCCTGCTGACGAGCTCCATCGACACTTTGTCGCTGATGCCGACCAGAGGGCTCTTCTGGTAGGCAGCCTGGGCCACGAGCCTTAGCATAAAGTTCGCGTGCGACCCCGCCAAAGAGACTAAACCCTAAACCCTAAACCCCTAAACCTTAACCCCTAAACCCTAAGGTGGCCGCCGTCCAGATCCCCCAGGAGACTGTTGCCGCGTGCCGGGGGCCCTGTTTGGGGCATGTACCTTCTTACGAGACCTCTGTCGCTCTCTGCGGCAGCTTCATAATTCCTACTTGCCTGCTTAGGAGGAAACTGGGTGCTTTTTGCTATACTTTTCAAGTTCCTTCCGTGGATCTTTCATGTGACTCGATAAACCTCCCTAGACTGCCCTAGACCACAAACCCTTCAACATAAATGCCCTGAGCGCTTTAGGGTTTGGGGTCCTCGATAGAGAATGCTTAGCCCATTTGCAGAAGGTAGCTGTCAGGCTCTACTGTAAGGATACGGGGACTTCGTAAGTTCTAATGAGCCGAATTGCAAGGGCCCCCTAAACCCTAAACCCTAAACCCTAAAAAATAAACCCTAAACCCTAAACCCTAAACCGTTAGGGCTTGTGCCCTAACGGGTTTCCCTTACTTATGCCATCTTATTTGGGCACTGCATCCACCCTGTAACAGTCTAAAGTAGGGGTTGTTACAGATAGGAGGGCAGTACCCAAACCATACTTGCTAGGTCCCTTGACCCTTCAAGTCCTATAAGCACTACATTGTACAGCTCTGGTGGCCAAAATGCCTGATAAAAACGTGCCAGTTCGGGCTGTTCGCTCATTCCTTGAAGACTTACCTAGGGCTTTGCGCAAAAAACTTTTGAAAACGAGCCCATGGAGCCTTACAGTATCGAACTCGTTAAAACAAAACGCGAACAAACCCTTCTAAAGCCTCGAATCACTTGGCAGGCCCGAATCCCTTGCGGCAAGTCCTCGAGATTTAACCGTGAACGAAGCTCGGCTGCAAAGCCCTGCACGTCCTGTGCAAAAGACTCCCTCTAAACAGAATTCCAGCCCTCGGAATCCACTTACCAGTTGTGCTTTGGGGCTTAGTGTTTAGAGTCTAGGGTGTAGGGCTTAAGGTACATACTTTCGATGTTTTCACGCGGTATGTATCGGTTTACTAATATGTATCGGTGTACTAACATGCCATATTATGACTATTGAGGTAACTGGAAGAAGATGCATCTGGACGAGACATCCATGCAAGACAACAAGCTCTGCAAGGCAATGCGACCTCGCAAAGAAACGCAACCCAACGGCCCCGAACCTGACGCCAAGTCTGTCTACTTCGAAATTCGAGGTAACAACACACTCATGATGTTGCCAGATGAGCCCGAGAAAAAGATCACCAAGACTGTGACGCGTACCTGCATGAAGAGCTGTAAATCCTAAAACCCAATAAAGTGTACGTATACAAAGTATATCTGCAAACCCCCTGAAACACCTAGGGTTACTGCCTAATGGGGCCTCCGTTCTGGAAAATGGAACAATACCTCATGCCTACTTGGAGGATCATGGGACTTAGTAAGTAAGGTTATAGGTACCTTAAACGGGAGTATAAGTAAGTATAACTCTAGTTACCTTATATATACGCATAGGTACTGAGTCCCATGAGCTTCCAACTAAGCATACGTTCTGCTGTTCTCTAAGGACTTTAGGAGGGACCCCTAATAGGGACCCTTAATCCCATTACCTTAAATAACCTTTGTATAGTCCTTATATACCCCTTATATAGCCAGGTAGTCTCCATATGAACCCCAATAACCTACAAGGGTCCCTATTAAGGGTCCCTCCTAAAGCCCTTAGATGTTCTGTGAAAGGCACTAGCTGCTAGGAACACCCTCGGCTGGCCAACAGCCCTACTCGGAGGATCATGGGACAGAGTAGATAGGGTTTAGGGTTTAGGGTTTAGGGTTACAAAAAGGGTAAGTCTAGTTATAGTTACTTCTAACTCCAATTGTGCTTACAACGCTACCTGCTAAGTCCCATGATCCTCGAAGCATCTTAAACCAAACCCCTGTAGTACCCCTATAGATCCCTTACAGGAACCCCTGAACCTTGCTAAGTCCCATGATCCTCCAAGTACGCCAACATGCAACCAGTTCATAGAACCCTGTGAGCGAAAGCCTTGCGCAACCATCCCCAGGCCCGACCGGCAGTCCAAAAGCCGTTTCCGTTTACACCCCAAAACTACAGGTGGGGAGTTTTGTGTATATAGGGCTTCTATAAGGCTTCCATAAGGTATATAGACCTTCTACAAGGCTCCTACAACGGTAACTACCCACCTGAAAATGTCCTAGACAGGATGTCCGGAACATGGGGGCCTACATAAAAAGACCCGAGTTTGGGGGAGGTTTACACGACCACACTGACACCGCATCAGATCAAGAACCGGTGAAAAGTATTTCTAATTTCATCACTTGGGCCCTTACATAGCATCTGAGCTCGTAAGACCTAAACCCTAAACCTAAGCCCTGAACCCTGAATCCTAAACCGCGCAAAACCCTCGAGGAGCTGCTTCTCGAAATCCCTCACTATAAGGTCCTTAAGAAATAGAATAGGGTTTTGGGGCGCATTATATTACAGGATCCTTTTGGGCGGGTGGCTCAAGGGGGGAGGGTCCTAGGGATCCTTAGGGAGCTTTAGGGAACCTAAGGGAGTACAGGATTCCATAGTTATATCATTATTTCTATTATAAGGAACCCCCAAAACAAAATAGTATTGGTAACTATTTAAGCCCTTACAGTACAGGAACCCTTGACCGAACCCTCGGCAGTCCCGGCTGCGCCAGATCCGAACGGCAGTCTGCCAGTCGCCAGTAAGGAGCTCAAACCTAAGTGGCCCAGAAATTCAGTTGCTGTATAGGGCTTTGGGGATTTGGGGGTGTAGGAATTTATGGATTCGTGGGTTTAGGGTTTAGGGATGTTGGGGTCTGCATGGTGTGCATGGCAGTGTATGGTGAATGGTATAGGGGTCGAGATGGTTTTCGGCTTGAGAACCTGAGATAACTTGGATCCGGAATCGAAGATCGAGACCCTGAAGCCAAATCACTAGAACCCCCCCTGTCAGATCCTGCCTAAACCTCGTACACAACCAGCAGAACCACCGAAAAAATCGAACTCCCAAAAATCTTGGTACAAGGCCCTTCAATCGCAGATAATTACCAAGCTCGGCTTCTATGAAAGGTGGCTGTCTTTCGCGAAGCAAGACCGACCAACACAAACGCTTCAAGGCTTCTGTCGGTGCGTTTTCGGGCTTTGGGTTTTTCCAAGACAGGTGGCATGAGCACGCCGGCACTCCAAGAGTCGTAGCCTCATCACTTGACGGGCTTTGTGGGTTCATAGGGTTGGTATATGGGTAGCTGTCAAAATTATGGTCCCTTTTGGGGTACCCTAAATAATAGGTGCCGTATTATAATAAGGACCCAAAAAGGGACCCTAATTTTGACAACCACCCATATAGCTGAGAAATGTGGTTGATATACCGTTGATGTAAGGTTCCACTCCTGTTGCGTGTGTTTTTCGCTTCGACCCTGACTGCTAAGCCCCACATAGGAATAGCATGAACATAGGATCGAGGTAGGGCTGACTTAAGGCTTAATGTCGGGGCCTTAATAATTAGAATAGGGTTTTGGGGCCCATCCATAATTATAACAAGGAACCACTAACATAGTATTGGTAATTATGTAGGCCCCTATATTATATAAGGCGGGCAGGCAGGTCAGGGCCTTTGCCTGAAGAGTTACCAATACTATTCCTCACGCTCCTGGATAAGAATACACAGCCATAGAACCCAAAGCCCTCTTCTCGTTGTTAAGGCCCTGCACTAAACCCCAACCCTAAACCCCAAACCCCAAACCCTAAACCCTAAACCCTAAACCCTAAACCCTAAACCCTAAACCCTAAACCCTAAACCCTAAACCCAAACCCCTAAGCCCGAACCTGCGACCCTGGAACCTAGTGGTCCTGAGCCCTGAACCCTACTTAGAGGTTCATGGGACTTAGTAACTAGGGTTAAAAATAGGGTACCTAGACTTACAAGTACTTATAACCCCAATTAGAGTACTTATAACCTTACTTACTAAGTCCCATGATCCTCCAAGTAGAGCCTAAAGCCCTGAACCTTCAAGGACCAGCCGACCTCGCAAGCTTACAGGGTTCCTTTTAGTGGGATCTAGGGTTTCGGGTTTGGGGTTCCTTTAAAGGGACCTATGCTGTTGATGAGATAAATCCTGCATTACCTTAAGGACTCGAAGCTATGGGAATTATGGCATATTCCTTATTATGGGTAATGCTGGATTTAGATCATCAGCTGTAGGACTACAGAAAGGTGGGTTTCTATAGCAGGAGTTACTTGTATGTTCGGGTAAGTAGGTATCAAGGACCCTTTGGGTCCATCGAGGGAGCTTGCAACCCTACTTGCTCAGTCGCCTGAACCTCCAAGTATGGGCCGTCTTCGCAAGCATTTTACTTTTGTCTACACGGGCTTTGAATTTGGGGCCAAGTCATCCAATGCCTCGCGCCCTAAAGCGTTGAAACCTAACCGTACTCGCACCCCGCACTCTGAACCGAATATGTGACAGGGGCTTAGAGAAAAAAGAACAGGGCTTCGGGGTATATTGCAGCATGTCTACCTGAATCTACCTGATATTAGCGTGCTCGAGGTTTGGGAATCAAGGCGCTGGCAGGGTCTACATCGTTGGTGATAACATGGACGTCGGAACCTTTGGAATTAGTTTTCCTATTAGGGCTCCTTACTTCAAGGATTAGGGTTTAGGAGTAATTACAATTTTACCTAGTACGACCCAAATCCTTGATTACGTGTGGCCCCGAAATTTGAGCCCTCAGCTGCTTGTCCCCATCGAGGGCTTGCTTTCAACTGGTGTTCCTCTTGGATTTTCGACGATCAGCAAATACTTACCAACTTACTGTCCCTGCTAAATCTGACATCAACCCCAGTTACCAAGCCCCATGATTCTCCAAGCCTCCTCCTTTCGAGCTCATGGATCTCCCATATAGGGGGAACTACAACTGCGGTTCTGCCTCAGTGAACACAAAAGTAGGTTACGTACAGTTGATGATATGAACCCTGCATTACAACTATGGCATAACACCTATTATGGGCAATGCAGGATTTAAATCATGAGCCGTAGTGATAGAGAAAAGGGCCTGAATAAAGACAAATATCACGAAAATATCGGGGCCTGACTTATTAGAGTACGCTTTCGAGGTATATTTTGCTATAATTAAGGAACCCTCGGTAATTCTTGAGGCCTCTATATTAGTCCTCAGGGGCTCCAGAACACAAGATAGACCGAAACCAAATTCTAACGATCAAGGCCCCTACATGGGCTTAGTCTGCGGGGTCTAGGGTTCAGGGTCTAGGGTTTACGGTTTAGGGTCTAGGGTCTAGGGTCTAGGGCTTAGGGTTTACATTACTTCTCGCAGCTACTCACTACGTCCCGGATCCTTCGAGTAAGGATTTCTCAAGAACTTGCCTATAAACCCTGAACCCTAAACCCTAAAAGAAGTGCCTTCTTAATGCTCCTAGTTCAGGCAGCCAGCCTCTTCCGGTATCCATGACAGGATAGGCTGAACCTGGTATAGACAACTTGGGGTTTCGGGGGTGTTGACGGTATAGGGTTTAGGGGTTTAGGGAATAGGGTTCAGGGTATTGGGTTAAGGGTTTAGGTTAGTGACTGGGAGAGCCAATCTCAGGCAAGCCAAAACTATGTCAAAAGGGTGGGGGCCCCCAGTGCAAAGCGTGGCATGGCATGCTCTTCTCCCCATCAAGACTCAATCTGACGAGCCCATCAACCCTCTAAACCCCTAAACCCCCAACAAAAGAAACAAAACCCCAAACCCCTAAAAAAACCCTAAGCCCTAAACTCCCCAAAAAACAAAACCCAAAACACCCAAAAAACCCTAAACCCTCAACCCCAAAAAACCTTGCAGCCTAACCTCCTAATCCCGACTTTAGAGCTAGAGATCCTACAAACAGGGCTAGGGTTTAGGGTTTAGGGGTTAGGGGTTTAGGGTTTAGGGTTTAGGGTTTAGGGGTTTAGGGGTTTAGGGTTTAGGGTTGAGTAGGGTGTAGGGTTTGGGGTTTAGCGCTGAGCAATGACGAAGAAGCCGCAATGTTGATACATATAACAGAACTTTTGGGGTATAGTATACTTATACTTATAATGAGGAACCCCCAAAATACTAGAGGAAATTCTTCAGGCCCCTATAGTACCCAGGCACCTGAGGGGGGGCTCCTAGAATGCACCCTGTGGTAGTGGAGGGTCCCGAATTAGGGGTAGGGTTTAGGGTTGCCGAACTTTTTGAAACACCTAGACAGCCAAATGCCGCTCAGTCGAGGACTAGTGCGTCAATGTATGAAGCCGACTGATGCAAACCCGGGATATCCATGATCCTAACCCCTGATGTAGAAGCCTAAGTAATTGCCAATACTATTCAGAGGCCTCCTTATTATGATTGTACTATAAAGGACCCCCAAACCCTTTTCGAATTATTGAGGCCCCTACAGCACATTGAAAACCTAAATCCCAGCCAACCTTTTTGGTATGACAAATATAATCCTAGCATCCAGGGCTCTACCTAAGTCCAACGGTTGATGATATAAATCCTGCATTACCCAAAGTAGGGACTATCCCATAATTCCCATAGTTCAGGGTCCATAGCGTAATGCAGGATTTAGATCATCAATCCTAGCATCCAGGGCTCTACCTAAGTCTCAGCGGCAATCGGAGCCATGAGGGTGATCACCCGCCTTGACCTGCCAAACCCTAACTGCTAGAATATGGGCCCATGCAGAATATAAGGGGCCTTCATGTTTAGAATAGGGCTTTGGGGTATAAACCTTTAATAAGGAACCCCCCCAAAGTACTGCTGATGATATAAATCCTGCATTACCCATCATGAGGAATATACCATAATTCCCATAGTTTAGGCTCCTTGAGGTAATGCAGAATTTATATCATCATAGTACAGGTCATTATTATCAAGGCCCCTATATTATCTCCGCACTTCTTGCTGTGACGAAGCGTCAGTGCTGGATCGTGCACGTGCTGGTCGTGCTGGCCTAAGTACCGATGCACCTCGTTGGACCCGTCACCGCATTAGGGTTTCGGGTTTAGGGCTTAGGGCCAGACCAACGTCGAGAAGGAAGTTTGGTGTCAGCTTCTCCAGAGTCGCCCGTCCGACGCCTGTGCTGCCAAAGGCACGGCTATGGGCTCAACCATGGCCCCAAACCTGAGCAAAGGCTCACCTAGGAGCGAGATGCACGGATACCTTTGCATGGCAGCTGCGATGCCCTGTTTCGCCCCGTCCTGCTGCAGAAGGTCTACACTTTCTACAGGAAAGCTTCACATCTTCCGAAGTCCACCGTTTTGGAGCATAGGTCGAGTTCTTCAAGCATGCTTCCAATGGGCCGCGAACCTGCAGATTTGCTTGCTACCTTTAACTTGCTTGTCCCTGGGGCAGCAGAGGTACACCTTCGCGCTTCCGTAGGGACAAAGATGCCCCAAGCAGTTAAAGGTTAGCTTCCAGACTACCAAATACCCTACAACCCTGAACCCTAGACCCGAAACCCTAAACCCCAAGACCCCAAAAGCCTAAGACCCCCCTAAACCCCTAGACCCTAAACCCTAGGCCCAACGGCAAGGCCCTGAGACACCCATAGCCTTCCGAGGCCCACACCCTGGGTATCCGAATCCCGCCAACACTCGGGTGGCGAATACCTCATCCCAGGGGTCTCTCAAGAGAGTGTAAGGCATAGGTTTTGTAGGGCTTAGGGAGTTTAGGGCTTGGGGAAATTAGGGTTTAGGGCTTAGGGAGTTTAGGGTTATGGAGTGTGAGGTTTAGCACTTGCAGGGTTTACCGTTTCCGAATTTGCGTTTTGAGGCTCACATCAACAATCCAACTGCCTTCTGCGGTATCCAAGCGCCACTATTGCAGGTCGCAAGGGCTCCATTTGGGTTTAAGGTTTAGGGCCCCGGTTGACTTCAGAGCTTTCAGGGCTATGCATGTCAGGCTTCCTGCTTGGAGTGGTTCTCTGTTGAGGCTTTCCATGGGGCTCTTCATGGGAGTTTTCGGATAGGGTACACTACTGGCACGACGAACCAGACCGGGATCAGGTGACTGTAAACACGGATTTTATGGGTATCACCACGATTGCAATCTGGAAAAGGAAAGCACCCACCCGACCGCACACATGCGCAAAAACAGTCTCGAGTGGCTCTTGAGCCAGAAGATTAGATTCCAAACTCTAAACCTTACTTGTCACTGCTCCTATATTCCCCTAAACCCGAAACCCTAAACCCCTGAAAAACTCTAAAAACCCCACAAACTCCAAAATACCCTATGCCATCCCTTGAGGCGAGCCACTTCCGAGTTCCCATCCAGGGGCCCTCATAGTTCAGGTCCACGACGAACCCAAAATCCTGGTCACCAGAAGGTGCTTTTATAGGAGTTAGGATTAGGGGACCCTGGACCCTGGGGGGACATAGACCCTCTCCTTTTTAAGAGAGCCATAAAGGGTTTAGGGTTTAGGGTTTAGGGTCTAGGGTTTAGGGTAGGGTAAAGAAGGGTCCCCTGGAAGGGGTCTGCCGAATACTACCTAGGAAAAAAAGTGTGCTTTTTGGGTAGGTTGAGGGGGTTCAACGGGCTTCCCAGAGTGCTCTTTGTCGGGGGTTCTACAATGATGATTTGTAGGTTTACTGAGGCTTTATTCTTGATACTGTCATTTGCAAGTTTTTGTGTACAAAGCTTGCCCTGATTGGGTGCCTTGCGATTTGCACTAAGGAGATCTATGTTCTGTCATGTCTTCATGAGTCCATATGCAGGGCCTTGGGCATGCTCCCAAGAACCCGGAATGTAAATGCAACAGCCTCAAAACTTCTCAAGATTATTCATTCGGCTGTCTTGGCAGAACAAAAAAGAAAATAAAAAAACATAATAAAATGCCCGAATACGTACTCTAATCATTCAGGCTCCTCTCGATCACTCCTAAACCAAATAGCCAAGGGTCAATCAGCTTACAAATGATCTCGTTGGTGTTCTTCCTCGGGAAGTTGACCATCACATTCCTTGGAAATGTCCAAGGCGCTGCAAAGACTCCGAAGGCTTACTATCGTGGCCAGCACCTATGTTCACGGTGCAGCGCGTTGATAACGTTTCTCTCTTCCAGGCTCCTCTAAGGCGAGACTGCCAAGTCATAGTAGGCATATGAAAGAAGGTGCCGTATGAAACAACTGAATCAAGATAACCCTGTTAAGGGTACTCGTGACTCTTTAAAGACTCATGCCATGGCCTACTTCCCAAGTCCACGGTTTCTTCACGCAGGTAAGCCCTAAGCCCAAAGCGTATGAAATTCCAAACCGAAAAGCAAGATACACTTTGTAACAATACCTTCTGGCAACCCCATGAAGGCCCCGAAGATATCCCTAAGATCTATGAAAGGTTTAGGGCGTAGGGCTTAGGGTAAAGCCGACCTTTAAGAGACAAAAACGACGGAGAATCAACGGAACATAGAGGCCTGAATTGTTAGAATAGGGTTTTGTGGCCCATTGTACTATAGTTATAATCAGGAACACCCACAATAGTTTTGGCAATTCTTCAGGCCCCTACGTTACAATACACCAGAGTCTAGCCGAGGGGCTCGGGCTTCACATCCAAATGGCAAAGCCGTTTCTCCTCCAGCTTGGCCAATGCCTCTGGCTGTTGCTAGTTTTGCAGGGTTTGTATAAGGGTGGTAAGGGTGCTTAGGGTTAGGGAAGCTTTTATACGGTAGTTCTAAGCCTTGTATAATAGCAGTTCAATACGCATTTTGGCTTTAGGTTCGGAGTTTATGTCTCCTAGGGCTTGGGTTCAGACCCTGGCGACCCATGATTCTGCGCCATAAGGCCAAAGCTCGTGGTAGTCCAGGGTTGATAGGTATTTCCTAGTGCTGGTGAAGTGCAGCTGCACTTGGACCTTTAATAAACCCCATAGAGTCCTTGTATGCCGTTATATAAGAACCCGTGCAAACCCTATAAGCACCGCTTGAGCCCTCCTTAGCAAGTCCCCTGATCCGTTTATGCCCAGACCCTGATAGAACCACAAGGCTGCACCCTGCTATTATACGGCTTAAGGATAGGACGTTTTTAGGAGTTTCTATCCTCTTAGAGAACTCCAGCAAAAAACACCCTGCTATAGCTAGCTTCTTTGTAGCCTCAGTTACTGAGTCCTCTGATCCGCGCAGTACGCTAAACCCTAAACCGTTGTAGTACCCCTCTAGCTCCCTTAACGGGACCCTTAAACCCGAAAGCCCTAAACCCCAAACCCGAAAGCCCTAAACCCCAAACCCGAAAGCCCTACAACCCTAAATCCTAAACCCCTAAACCCGAAACCCGAAACCCTAAACCCTAAACCCTAAACCCTAAATCCTAAACCCTAAACCCTAAACCCTAAACCCTAAAAGGAGCCCTGTTCAGTGGCCGAGGCACCTCGACAATGTCCCGCATGCACGAGCGGATTTGGACTAAGTTCAAACCTCGGCGCCAGGCTCTGCTCTTCGGGGTTTGGGGGTTTAGAGTTTCGGGTTTAGGGTTTGGGGTTTAGGGTTTAGGGTTTATAGGATTTATATTAGAGTTTCGGGTTTGGGGTTTAGGGTTTAGGGTTTATATGATTTCTAATAGCGTTTCGGGTTTGGGGTTTAGGGTTTATAGTTTATATGATTTATAATAGCGTTTCGGGCTTGGGGTTTAGGGTTTATTGATTTAGAGTTTCGGGTTTGGTGTTTCGGGTTTAGGGTTTATAGGATTTATAATAGAGTTTCGGGTTTGGGGTTTAGGGTTTAGGGGTTTATAATAGCATTTCGGGTTCGGGGTTTAGGGTTTAGGGATGTAGAGTTTCGGGTTTGGGGTTTAGGGGTTATAGGGAAAGCTAAGACCCTCTCAGCAACGAATCCTAGGGGATGTAGAAGATTACCCATACCTGGAGGATCAGGGGACTTAGTAAGTGAGGTTATAAGTCCCCTAATTGGGGTTATAAGTATAGTTACCTTAGTTATAACCCTAATTACTAAGTCCCATGATCTTGCAAGTAGGCTTCTGCACGGTTCTATCAGGCTTTCATGCCTCTAGAGTCGGGAACGGGACATGCAGCCATGCAAGGCTTCTGGTTTAGGGTTTAGGGTTAAGGGTTTAGGGTTCAGGGTTTAACATATTATATATTATTGAAGGGGTTCTGGGCTCCGCTCTACCCTGTCTGGGGGTAGAACCGAGGAAAACGGTAAGCCAGAACCCTAAACCCTGAACCCCTAAACCCTAAACCCTGAACCCCTAAACCCTAAGGAACAGAAGCAG